AAAAATGTATATTTAATTGTTATTGCTTTTAACCAACACCAAAATATTGTACAACTAGTTGTTAACCAACACCAAAAGTACAACATCTCATGTAACCTTATGATTTTGTTAGAAAAGTTCTCTTTTGGGAAGTGAGTGTGAGAGTGCATGACCATCTCTTCTCATGTGGCCGTGGCTAATTAGCTTTGCTTCCAACTCTTCCACTATTAATCGCAGCCTCATTTGATTTGGTAAGGCCAGTTCATAATTGGGCCTAGTGTATTTCATAGGAAGGCCCAATACAGATCAGGATTACATAGTGTCATCATACTAATACCATGCTTTGTGCTGAGTCCGCAAGCAACTCGCGTGCCACACTAGGCGCAACGATGTAGGGAAGCGTACGAGTGAGACGATAAATTGAGAACAGTTTCAGAATACCAAGAACAATATTATTTTTTATTCATTCCTTAACTATCCATCAAAGTCACGGGGTTGAACAATATATAATAATCATAATCCTAGTCTCCTAAACTTGCCCGACAAGCTAGATAATTATTTACTTGTCCACTAAACAAGTAATTATTCTCTTACCAATTAACTACTAATCATAAAAGGAATAATAATAATAATAATAATAATAATAATAATAATAATAATAATAATAATAATAATAATAATAATAATAATAATAATAATATAATACTAATAATAATATTCATTCTCTATCATCAGTTGATATCAACAGTCAGTACGATTCGCGATGTCGCCGGGACGACAAGATGCCGCAAACAAACAACGTGATGCAACCTTCAACGATCGGTTTCAACAGATTGACTACCGATTTCAAGAGTTGGACGTGCGTTTCACGAATTGGTTTGTAGATCTTTCGACGGGGATCGAGGATTTGCGTTTGACGCTTAACAATGTGGTCTGGGATTTGCAGATGAACCGTGCCGCCGGCGACCGGGGTGTGCGCGGGGGAGTTCACGGAGGAAGTGGAGGTCGCGGTCCAGGCGGGGCGCCCCGTCGACGATCTCCACAACCGCCGTCCGGCGATGCAGACGGCGAGGAGACCATCTTGGAGGTGGATCCCTTCGGAGAGTGGTCGCCTCCGGCCGTCGAGACTGAGCTCGTTGCTGCGCACAACGGCCAACAAGGTGTGGTTTTTGAGGAGAATGACGGACTATCGTACGATGGTCTGCCAATTTTTTATGAGGAGCCACTCGTGGCGGACGACGACGTGGCAGAGGTGATGCTTGGCTCGGCCGAGTCTGAAGGCCCCCCGATGTTTGATGAGGAGCCACTCGTGGCGGACGACGATGTGGCGGAGGAGAAGTTTGGTTCGATTGAGTACGAGGGCCCCCCGATTTTCGACGAGGAGCCGTTCGTGGCGTACGATGGTCCACCGTTTTTTGATGAGAAACCGGAGAAGATTGGAGAGAAATTTTTGCATGACGTTCTCCATCCACACATTCTTTCTATTTGTGATGTTATTGACGGATTCGTGATTCCGACTGTCAAGTACGAGGTCATTTTGAGATGGGTCTTCAATTCGGCTTCTACATTCAATTTTACAAAGGATATGGCCCGAATCGTGGCTTTTTTTGGTGCGGCTCCTGTGGGTTTGACGGCATGGTCAAGGCGCCGTGTTGGATGCAAGGGCAAGGAAACAGCTTGGTCTCGTCGTCTCGGATTCGAGGGCGAATCCTCCTCAACCGGGGGAGGATGATAGAGAATGATTATTATTATTATTATTATTATTATTATTATTATTATTATTATTATTATTATTATTATTCCTTTTATGATTAGTAGTAATTGGTAAGAGAATAATTACTTGCTTAGTGTACAAGTAAATAATTATCTAACTTGTTGGGCAAGTTTAGGAGGCTAAAATTAGGATTATTATATATTGTCCAACCCCGTGACTTTGATGGATGGTTAATGAATAAGTAAAAAAAATGATATTGTTCTTGGTATTTTGAGAATGTTATCAATTTATCGTCCCACTCGTACGCTTCCCTACATCACGCAGCCCGTGAGTTCGTGCACCTGCCACATGCCAGGGCAACTCGCGAACCCTACCAATGATCTCGCGCAGCCCATGAGTTCACATTCCAACACCCTACCAACTCGCGTGCCCTGTGAAAGCTCAAGATTGTCGCACGTGTTGTTTACTAAATGTGTATTTTTCAGTGCGTGTACTAACAGTAGTATAAGAACAACATACCACATTTTTAGAATCTCACCTCATTTGTTATAATTTCAATTTTTAGATTTTCTCACTCTATTTTGTAATTTCCCTCTTGGGAGGCTTAAGGGCTCAAAGATCCAAGTTTTGTTATTTTCTTTAACGTCAAAATTGCAACTTTCTTGTTTATTTCTACTTGTGGACGTGACTAGGGACTTGAAGACTTAGCTAAGGTTCAAGATCTTGTAAGTTATATTGACTTTGCTTAGTTATATTTCTAGGATTTTTTTTTTATTTTTTATTTTTAATAAAGTTGAGAACTTTCATGAGTGGAATACACTATAATCTTTGAAGGATAGGGAATGTGTGATTTTGTAGTTTATTGCGTAGCTAGAATTGAATGATATCCCGATTAGTTCATCGCAAGTGATGATTGTTTGATTATATGTTCCTGAATCTTTGTATGTCTTTTTTAATCTATAGTTTTTGGTATGCTTATTTTTTTTTTTCATTTCTATTTTTTATTGAGATCTTGCAATTCTCTTGCACTCGATTTCCCTTACTTTCTTTCATTCAAGTCTTCTTGCATTCACATTAGCTTAAAACAACCTCCAATTCACGTTTAGAGGGTTTAGAATTTTTATTTTTGGTTTTTTTTTTTGTGAATCAATAATTGTCCAAATTCGATTTCGAGCAGTCTTCCTTTGAGATGCGACCCGAGATTGCTCTTTATGATTGTACTCGATAATTAGACTACAAATAAATGACATTATTGGCAGGAAAGGCAAGTAGGACATTAGATTTAGACAATTAACTGAGCACACGATTGACGTGCGGTGGTGGCTGTTTGTTGTGCTTATTTTCGTGAGTTTTTTCGTGCCTAAGTCGAATCTGTTTAGGTTTGTTTTAGAGTTGACTAGTCAATTTGTCATTTTTCGTGTATTTTTGTTCTCGTACTGTGCTTTTGTGTTTTGCCATATTTTCTTGTTTATTTTGGTGTTGATTAGGTCCATATCGTGAAGCTTGGAAAGATCCATGCCATTTTCAAGTCATTCCCGAGCCACCCGAACCACCTGAACCATTCTGAGCCATCCCTGGAGATTTTTGAGTCAAGACCCACGATCATGTTGCCAGGCCTAATCCGCGGCCCCAGTGTACTTTCGCGATGTTGCTCGTGCCAAGGCCCAGTCCGCGACCCCAATGCATTTTCGCGACGTTGCACGTGCCTGTGCCAATGCCAAGACCATTTCCGGCCCAAGGCCGTTTTGCAACGTTGCGCACTCCTGTACCAATGCCAAGTCTACGTTTCACGCCCCCAATGCAATTCCGCGACATTGCGCGTGCTAACCCGCGAGCCCCAATGCCGATTCGCGGCCCAAACCTCATTTTCCACCGTTGCGTGTTCAGTTCACTAAATGTGTGTATTTTTAGTGTGTGTTTGTGGTGTAACTATAAATAAACATTATGCTTTGTATTTTTAGACATAATCCCCTCATTTCCTAACTTTTAAGTTGGGAAATCCTCTCCATTTTCTCTCTTTTCTTTTTGTGCTTTGGTTTGGAGGTCCATGACTCTATTTTTCCGGCGAAATTTCGGTAATTTTATTTTCATCCAAGTTTTGAGCTTTATTCATTATTTTCGTCCAAGCATACGATAGGAGATTAAGTACCTTTCTTAGGTCTTACTACTTCGAGTTTGTCTTTTTAATTGTGTGTTTATGCTCGTTTCTATATTTTTTCTTTATTTTCATTGCTTGCTTCATGTGTTAGGAATCAATACGTGCTTATCTAGTATAAATGTCTCGACTTTGTTCAAAAAGCAAGATGATTTAAGGTAGAAAGCTAGTGTTAGGTTATCTAGGATCACTATGCTTGCATGTTTTCTCTTTGTTTATTTTTTTTTTCTTGAGTCGTGGAGTTTACGGTAGACCAAAGTTCCGATTTTTTCTTATAAAATTTGCATCTTTCATCATTTGCTTTTAGATTCTTAGCTTAATTTCGTGCAATCAATCCCTACCAAGCGAGTAGAATGTGTAGGACCTTGTTTTTGGTTATGTGACTTTGACGACTAGGTAGTGAACGAAGCTCCGAACAACCTTATTTGATAACGACCCGAGTCGGATAGCTCGTTTACTAAACAGGGTATCTTTTTTAGACCTTCATTGTTCACTAAACGAGGTAGGTTCTACCGACCCCAAAGGCTCTAAGTCGAGCTGGGATGTGGCCAAGACAGGGTATGGGCCGAATTGCTAGCCTTATGAGTCCTTCTATGAGCGATGAATGCTTTTGTCTGGATCATGTACAATGCAGTTGATGAGATCTATATCTATGCTAACATTTTTTGTCAAATAAACATCAACAACACAAAGAAGAAAAATTGCAACATATAAGTATAGACTACACTTATCGTCAACATAAAACATCCAAACAGAGAAAAAATCAAAGAAAAAAAACACTCTTGCACAAGTCACAACGTTAAAAAAGTCCCAACTCCTAAATATGCATGATTTTGTATTACTAATAAACCTCAAACCAAATTTAACCTTCATATAATAGGATAAATCAATACTCCAACAAGACTACGGAGAATGAGACCAAAGATGCAGGGGAAAAGCCAGAGCAATTGATGACTGTCATGACAAAAACAGTAACTTATTACACTTTCCCAAAGTAATGTTGAACAAAAAAAAAAAGACACAAAGTAAAACAACTCCCAAACCAAAAACACCTTGCCATCATACGCAAAGTATAACAATTTTGGTTATGCATTGCCATCATACATAAACCACCAACACCTTTAATTCGGCTCCACAGTTTTATTGTTTTTTTTACCAACACTCGTAAAGTCTAATATCCGCACGGAGCCGGAAATAAACCTCGCCCTCGAACGCGTCCGTCGACAGGGTCGCGATGCCACGTGCCATGAAGAAGTCGCCCGTCCCTCCAATCACCGAGATGTCCCTCGTCTTGTTCATCAACGGGTCTGCCCCCGCGAAGTTTATGGAGCCCCTGTGGCGCGTGGAGTTGAAGACGAACGAGAACCCGAGCCATGCAGTGAACACGTCTTTCTTGTCGTACAAGTAGAACCCTTGGGCCCGGCCCACCGGGTGCGAGTGAAGATTGTTGTCGAGAGTGATGGGGTCGTCGAAAACCACCACGTTTCCGAAGTGATTCTGGCCTGCGAGGATTGTCGTGTTGCCCCACGCGGGGGCCCCCACGATGGCCGCGGTGGCATTTTTGGAATTTTGGCCGTTGTAGATAATGTCGTGGAAGTAGAAAGTCATGTTCTTGCACGGGTGGCGGATTCGGGTCCGTGCCCGGGCCTTTGGCCCGTAGGATGTGGCCGAGGAGCCGAGGAGGAGGAAGAAGAAAAAGAAAGGGAGGGACTTGGTTAGGGTTTTGGGTGCCATATGGATTTTGGACAAGATGGATTATGTATCAATAAGAGGGGAATTGATTTGAAGTGTAGAGTGGGAGTTTTGGTTTTGTGTTGGGTGAGTTTATATATATAGTGGTAAGTGCTAATAATGGGTAATAAATTATTGGTCCCAGTGCTTGAGTTTTAAGGGATATGTATATCGAATGGTAGTGTATCTGAGAAGGTTAGGTTTATTAATGCATAGTGGGTTTAGCTTGGGTGACTTGAAGTCTAAGAATGACCTAATTATTTGGTGACATGTGGTTCAAATTTAGTATTATCTGCTTTTGGCTGGAGTTTAAAGCAAATGATGAAAAGTAGCTGTTTGCTAGTATTGTCTACTTTAGACCTTTTTATCCCGAACCCAACTCAATCCAACCCAACCTAACTTAATAATTAAAAATTATTTCTCTCTCCTCTACATAAACAATTCAATCTTTTAACCTACTTTTTCTTTATCCCCAACTCAACTCAACCTACATATTTATTTTATTTTAATTTGTATAGAAATTATAAATGTGTTCTAAAATATATCAAGTGTGGTCTCTATTTATAGAGAACGAAAAAAATATAAATTTTAATATTTCTTTTAGAAACAAAAAAAATACACTTGTCCAATAAAAATGGGACAAGTGTCCCATTTTTTTCACAATACCGGTCGCGACCCGAGGTACATGGTGACCTGGGTCGCGCAACCATCATGACCTTTTCCTTTTATTTTTATTATTTTTTTATTTTTTATTGCCGTGACCCATTTATTGGTCATGGATAAAGTTAGTCTTATAGAAATTGATACAAATGTTGTAGAGTGGTTTGAATGAGTATTGAGTAGTGCTGTTAAATTAAACGAGCTTGGCTCGGCTCGGCTCGAGCTCGGCTCGGCTCGAGCTCGGCTTGTTAAGGCTCGGTCGGCTCGAGTTTAAAGCCTTAACGAGCCGAGCTCGAGCTCATTTAAAGCTCGTTTGGTTAACGAGCTCGGCTCGATAAGGCTCGTTAAGGCTCGAAAAGTGAAATTTATGTAATTTTTTATAGTTCAGCTGGTTAAAGCTCGAAATCGGCTCGAGGCCTTAACGAGCCGAGCTCGAGCTCGAGCTCGGCTCGTTAAGAGCTCGAGCTCGAGCTCAAACACCTTAAGCTCGAGCTCGGCTCGGCTCGTTTACAGCCCTAGTATTGAGTACCATTTGAAAATGATCGAATTTAAGAATTAATTGCAACCATTCCTAAATTTATATCGGCAAAATTGCTTTTTGTGCCCCGTATAACTAACGGTGTGTGGCAGATATATATTGACAATTTCTTTTTGCTTTGACAAAAGTGCCATGAAACTTGTTAAAACTCGAAATTCATGCCCAATTTACCTATAAATTACTGAATTTTATAGGTGGCCGCTGACTCACACTCGGATTAGTATACGTGTCCTAGAAGATTGTCAAATCAGCAAAATCTATTTTTCATGTGCAAAAGGCTCGATAAGCCATGTGGCGTTTTTCTTGACATGCTGGCAGTCTTCATCACACATGGCTGACAGTAAACCTGTGAGACTAGTTTTAATTTTTTTTTTTCCTATTTTTTATATTATTAAGTAAATCTAAGACAACATTATAAATATATATAATTATTTGTATTAAATATTTATAAAAATTTTAATTATGAATAAGGATACAATATACATAAAAATAAAGTTACAAAATATTTTTAATTACTTTTATTTTGTAATGTATTATTTAAAATAGGCATTCTTTTAGCTTCTTTTTAATAAAAATTATTTTAAAATTACAAAAAAAAAAAAAAATATTTTTATGCATCAGATAATTATGTTTACATTTTTATTCATGACATAATTTAATTTATAATTTTATTATTGTTTAATGAAAAATATAGTAAAAAAGTGTTAACTATAATTACTTTATGTATAAAACTACTTTTGTAATTTTATAATAATTTAATTTTAAATTTAATTTATTTTAGTAATTACTATATATTTTTTAAATAATTACAAAATTACAAACAAAATTAATTATTTCATGAATAAAAATGTTAGCTATAGTTATGTCATGAATAAAATTATTTTTGTAATTTAATAAATTATACCATATATGTCTTTTTCATTTAGTCGATAATTGATTTTACAGTATAGACTCTTATGACCTCCCCCTCCAATTACCATCCATCTGACATGCCACTTAGTAAGTTGAATAAAACGGTTTTTGTAATTTGATAATTCAATTTTATTGTAATTTTTTATAAATATTTGTTATTAAACAATTATGAAATTAAATAAACAATTATTATATTTTTTATTAAATAATTATAAATTACCAAAAAAATATTTCATGAATAAAAAATATTAAATATAATTATAAAATTACCAAAATAATATGTCATGAATAAAACTACTTTTATAATTTTATAACAATCCTCCTAGATATAATTCCCGAATGCGCTGAGCCTACGTGACTGCTTCTGGTGCTTCGGAGTCCTACTTGGCGAAGAATCATGCTTCGTAATAAAGTTTGGACAAATAATATTGATATATTAATAATTAATAATCTAGGTTCGGACATTCCATAAATATTATTTAGCTAACTTAGGTATTTTAATATCACTTGTACTAATATAACCTTCTTTGTATTTCACATAGTGAGACACTAAGTGACTAATATATCCTGACTTTTGATTTGCTTCATTTAATTAGCTATTGAATTGTAAATGTATTTTAAAAGTTGATAACTTTTGTATTTCTTATCGGTTTTACATATATAATATATCAAATTAATCATCTTTTGATGGTTTTTTATTTGACATCCATATTGTACATGTTAAATAAATAAATTATACTTATCTTTATAATAATAATAAATAATAATATTTATTCAAATTCATTATAAATATAAAATTATTTTTCAATTGATATATTTATGTTTAATGTAGTTATATGTTCTAAGTTAAAAGAATTATTATAATATAACAGAGGTAAGTCGCACAAATAAAAAAGTGTCATACTAAATATATAATAATATATATATTTTTATAAAAGGTATTTAAATTTTCAATTATATTTTCTCATTAATTTTATATTTTAAGAAAAAATTAGCAATCACCCGTGTAATACACGGGCGTTGTACTAGTTTAGTATTATAGTTAACATTTTTACTATACTTTTATTAAATAATTAAAAATTACCAAAAAAATGTTATATTTCAAATGTGAATATTCAATAATAAATCATATAAAAAACTGGGCAATGCTTGAAAAGTTAATCAAATATTCATATTTTTAAGTAAGTTGCCTATATTTTTACTTTATATATAATTTTATAAAAGATATTTAAATTTTCAACTACATTTTTTTCATTAATTTTATATTTTAAGAAAAAATTAGCAAACACCCATGTAATACACGGGTGTTGTACTAGTTTAGTATTATAGTTAACATTTTTACTATACTTTTATTAAATAATAAAAAATTACCAAAAATATTTTATATTTCAAATGTGAATATTCGATACTAAATCATATAAAAAAACTGGGCAATGCTTGAAAAGTTAATCAAATATTCATATTTTAATTAAGTTGCCTATTAAAAAGAATAATTCTAAGAAAATATAGATAACAAATTTATATGATATGAGGTTTCTAAAATTATTTGTTGTCATCCAAATGGAAAGAACAAACCAAAAGAGAAAAAATAATTAAATTGCTTATTTACTTGTACATGTAAATATCTTATTCTTGAGTGCACTGTGCACAAATGGCACGAGTTGAAAATATCAGCATCTGTAATTTCGGATAGTGTTAAAAATAAAAATGTTATCGTTATTTTTTTTTTTTGAAGAATTGTACAATTGTTGAAATGTATTATCGAATGTTCTCATATGTAATTTTTTGTTTGTAATTTCATAGTTATTTAATTAAAAATATAGTAAAACGTGTTAACTACGATGATCTCATGAGTAAAACTATTTTTTTTGTAAATTTATAGTAATTTAATATTATATAGAAGCTAAAAGAATACATATTAAAAATAACACATCACAAAATAAAAGCAATTACAAATATTTTCTAAATTTATTTTAATTTATAATCTATCCTTCTTCATAATTAAAAAATTTTATAATTAGTTACAATAAATAATTATATATGTTCCTGATCTTGTCTTACATTTACTTAATAATATATTTATATTAATTAATATATGTATAATAATTCATATAACAAAAGGGGAGCATAAGAATATAAAAATTAGAAAAAAATTCAAAATTAATCCCACAAGTTTTTTGTAATGCCACATGTGCTAAAGGCTGCCAGCATGTCAAGAAAAACGCCACATCTGCACCACATGACTTATCGGGCCTGAAAGTCCCGAAATGGCATCAAAAGTCCTATTTTTGATTACTTTTTGAAAGCAGTGGGACTAATTTCTTGCAGGATAAAAAATGACACCCCTTCAACCTGTGAGACTAATTTTAAATTTTTCTCATAAAAAGACTCTAGCGTTCCGGAGGAAAAAAAAAAAAAAAGATAGATTACCAATAAAAAACTATTGATTTTCGCATTCGGATACAAAGAAAAGAAATTCCGTTTTTGGTCTTTAAATTAAATGAAACTAATAGTAAAAAATATTTGAAAAATTAATTTGGATTAAAAAATTCTCTAGAAAGTAAGATAAAAATAAGCATTATTCGAAAAGTATTGTAAATATGTGGAATTAACCACATTATCACTTTCATTATTTTAATATATA